CGTACCATTAAGTTCATGCTGATGGTTTTACGTGTCTTTGAGACACCCGTGCTAGGCCTTTCTCTGAAGAAGTACGCTGAGTTAGCAGCATTATCGAGCACTTAGAGCCCGGTAGTCCTTACCGTTCGTAATTTAGTTTATACGAACCGGGGGGAGGGGAGTTTCTTTGCTTCAGTGCAGGGGGTGAGCTGGGCCCCCGTGAGCTGGGGTTGGGGGGGCGTCAGTAAGAGCCGGGCGAGCAGCCAGCGCTGAATTCTGCGGGGTGATAATAGCTAATTTCCTCCATGATCAGACCGATGTTGTACATACCTTTATTTATTATTTATTTATTCTCCTCTCCCCTTGGCGCTTGGGTTAGTTGACAGTGGACTCTGCGGTCTGTCAAACTGCAAGGAAGGAGGTCCCTGCCCTTTCTGCGGTTTCAGGGGAAACGTGCTGGATACGGGGAAAGGCTGTTGTTCACAGGCGGAGAGCTGAGCCAGAAAAGCTTTCATCTGTGCTCTAGAAGAGTATTTGGGAAATCTTGGCTGAATATAGTGAGTTAACTTGGTCTCATGCATGGGATAGCAGAAGTTTTGCTGTTGGAAAGAAACCCTCTGCTAAGAGGGCTTGCTGCTGTTCCTGTTCTTTCATGGGATAAGAAATCTCGCAATTGATCACACGCGTGTTTGAGAGAGCAAGGTTAATTTAGCTTGGATTTTACAGAGGACACACAATGGTTTTTCAGGTCCTCATGGTACAAACAGAAAGGGGGTTTCTTTGGCTGTGATGCGGCAAATAAGCAGCGGCGTCTCGCTTGCCTTATCATAAACAGCGCTTCACACCCACCTAGTCAGGCTGCCCGCACAACGCGCGGTTTAAACACTCAGAATGCCTGAGACTTGTGATTTCTCTTTCAGAGTTCAGACGGGTCCCTCTCTGGGGTTATGCAGAAGTGGAAGGAGTATCAGCTCCAGTGCCTGAGATACTTGTATGAGGCACCCCCCACTGTGGCAGGTAAGCCTGCTTGGTAGGGGTAGGATGTATTATTTTTTAAAATGCCTGGTAACAGTGGCAAGGAAGTGATTATGAACTTGCAGGTATTTCTGCAGCTTGCTTACCAATCCATTTCTTCTTTATCCCTTTCTTTTCAGCCTACTGTCTGTGTGTGACTGTCTTCCCCCTGCTGAGGGGAAGCATCTTGTAGAAGAATTGCACTGTAAAGCTGTTCATCTCTAGGTCCAGAGTGGCAATTGGTGGCTCTAGTGTATCCAAACAGCACGCTAACGTAATACGCCTGCAACTTTTGTAGGGTCGGGGTTGGGAGCGAGCATGGATGTCGGTAGGGCTGATCCATTGCAGAATCATAGGAAACTTAGGACCATGCTGTTTACACTGACCTAGCAGTATGTGGGCCTTACAGGCAGTATAACTTGTTTTGAGCATTATATAAGGCTGGAACGGCTAAAAAGGTGCCTTAGTGAAACCGAGAATGCAGCTTGTCTTAACAGTTGAGCTACTGTAATGAGATGAGAGGAGCTGCGGTGTGCTCAGCGTTGTCGTGTTTAGAGGACGCTGGTGACTTGTCAGTGACACTCACAACTGGGCACAGGATGGCCACTCGTACGCTTCGGTGCTTTTGTGACACACTGAAAGAGATGACAGGGGTCTCAAGTTGTATCTGTGAAGAATTATTTCAAACTGTTTCAAAACTGTTAATTTTCCTTCTCCTAGCTATATTACTGCTGCGGAGGGAGAGCACCGTGGCTGATGACAGCAATGGCAGGGAAACATTCATCTCCCTCTGCTCCATTATCCTGTTGAGCAGTTGAGTGCTGCCCTCTAAGAATGACAGTTTAATAAATCTGAGGTTGAAGTATGCTCATGTTGATTAAGCTGTAATGTAAAGTTATGGTTGTGTATGCATATTTTGTTGATGTATTTATCTATTAGGCTAGACTTCCCAACAGCGTGTCTGTGCGCCGGTTCTTGGGAATGATTATCTACAGTATTCATAGCAAAAATGATTTTAAACTAAGCTGAGACGTGTAAGGGTGCAAAAGGGGAAAGACAGAAATGGATCAGTCCTGGCCTTTATTGCCTTTATTGTCCCTTGGTTTAGTTAAAGACCCCAGACTGCTGTTTGGTTCCCTTTTCCACTTTCTTGTTGCATGAGGATAAGCAAGACTTACCTTTCTTGTCCAAAAGAGTAAACTCTAAACAATAGCATTTAACTCCATATCAAAGCTTAATTGCAAAACGTTATGGCTTATATGCACATGTCGTTATTTCCTTTTATCTTCCGCTCTTCAGAGTTTTCCTCTTTGCAGCAGTGCAAGGCACTGACGTGACTTTCCCTTCCATCTCTCTGCAGAAGGCAAGTTCTGCAACAGAACATTTGACAATTACGCCTGCTGGCCTGATGGACTGCCTGGCACCTATGTGAACGTGAGCTGCCCCTGGTACCTCCCCTGGGCTAACACAGGTAGGAGTCCTTCCTTACCGGCACAGCTTTAAACCGGCCCTGTTTTACTTACGCAGCCATTGCATGGATAGAAGTGGTTCAAACAGCAGCGAGTGCGGTGAGTTCTCTGCAATATAGCACTAGTAACTGGGCTCAGCGTGACATGCTCTATCTCTGTTTAGCAGGAGCAAATAAGGGAGGAGATTGTTTTTACGGAAAGGGTTGTATTTAGTTCAGATTTTTGCACTCCCATGCTTTCGCTGCTTGAATGGTGGTGGCTAATAATCAGACAGTACCTTGATGCTTTTTGGAGATTATCTAACAGTAGTAATGATGTATTTTGAAAACTGAGATAAAAGTAGCAAAGCTAGAAATTAGGTCTTCCTATAGCGAGTAAAGACAAAAGATCTAAGGTAAAAGTGCTTTGTACCGCTTCCTTAGCTTTATGTGAATTCCTGGGTAGCTTTGAGCTTGTCAGGGTGGGCAGGGCAGTGAAAAGTCCCAAAAATGGAATTGTCAAGGCCTGCTTGCTATTTTCACTTTTTACCTGTGTATCTCTTATATTAATAGTTAGGAACATTTGTTTAACAGTTAGGGACGTTTGTGGCGTGGCAGGGAAGGAAATTCTCTTTTGGAGAGAGATGCTCTGTCCCATTCTTCTTTCCCCAGTGCCCCAGCATCCCAGTGCTGCTTTGTTACCCGCTTCTGTCTTGCCTGCTTTTGTAAATGACCTGTATGCTTTGGCAGTTCTTGTACTCTTGTCCTGTGTGTGCTGAACATCTATGTTGGTTGGGGAGGAATTTTTCTAGATGTTTTATTCTGTATTTTCCTAGGGTAAATATTTTTCTGTTGCTCTGTCCGTATTTCTGACTTCTGCGGAACTTTTGTGTTGTATCTCAACTATATGGGTAGTAACTGCCAATTTGGTAATCTCTGAAGTTAACATGCTGTTTGCTTATCAGCTCCGGATTATTAATGAAGATTTTTTTTTTTTAGAATGATAAACATGCTTTTATAAATGTATGGAATTAATATTTGCCTCCCAGTTAGTTGTCATAAGAGTATTTGATGCTGCAGAAGTCTTTCCAACAATTCTAATCTTTCTAGATATCTAAATCTTGTTACAGGCTTAAACTCCTTCTTTCTAAACCTATTAACTTGCAGTCTTTAAGCCTCTATGTACACTGTTATATGACTTCCGATTTTGCTTGAAACCATCATTGCTGGAGAGAGCCAAGGTTTAACACAATGCTGCAGATTAATAAATTATTGGAGTGTGCGGTGTCTTTCATACTTTTGGAAACAAATAAAAAAATTAATTATCCTGAAAACCGAGCGTTTATTTCAATGGAAAGAATAGCAGCATTTTGTATAACCATAGAGCTTCCTAGGGAGGATTGCAGAAGTGCTTCAGAAAACGATTAAACCTCTGGACCTGTTCCCTTGCTGTGCATATATCTCAATCCATATTTTGCCAATGAGGAAAAAGAATGGAACAAGGAGGTCTTTCCTTCTCCAATATAAAGCAAGAAGTTGGTGTAAATGCCCGGTATGCGATTTAGGAGCCTGAATTCGCATGACCTGGTACTATTTCGTGACATCTTGTGCGGTCACGTTCTACGTGAATGCTAACAGACTGCCAGAATGGAGAGGGAAACATCTTTGAAGAGGAAGATCTAGAGCAGTAAAGAATTGGACCCCCTGTGTCTTACAGTAATCACTAACGCGTGCATATTGCTTGTTCTTGCTGAGCACCCTACTTAGAACTTAAAATAGATTCTAGCACTGCTGGTTGCAGAGCTTCCATATCTTCACATAGTGAACCTGGAGAAAATAAAAAGTTGAGACCTTGTTGGCAAAGTATCTTCCATACATCTTCAGTGAAGCTCATCGTGAAGTATGAGTGCTTCAACCAAGCTTACTCATTTAAGACTGCTATTTGATTAGCAGTCAAGTTCTCAACTGCGTAAGTTTCTTGGTGGACTTCACACCATACGTAGAAGTCCTCCAGGGAATAAATCCAAACACTTAAAACTGGCTGCTCTTTATGATGCAGTACTGAAATGGAGGAAGCATTGAGTGTGAACTTCTTATGGTCTGGAAATTCCCCGAAAAGCATACACAAGGTTGAAGCAGGGGCAAGTGACCCAGGAGGAATGTAGGGACACTGAGTGTCCTGAGATGAGGTTAGGAAAGCCAAAGCCCACCTGGAGTTGAATCTGGTGGGGGACGTGAAGGGCAACGAGAAGGGCTTCCAAAGAGATAGCTGCAGCAAAAGGAAGATGAGGGAAAATGTGGGCAGAATGGATCAGGGGACCTGATGACAAAGGATACAAAAAAGGCTGAAGTACTCCACAGTATTTTTTCACTGCGGTCTTTACTGGTAAGATTTACCCTCAGGAATGTCAGTGCCATGAGACCAGTGGGAAAGGCTGGAGCAAGGAAGAGTTACCCCTGGTGAAGGAGGATCAGGTTAGGAAACATTTAAACAAACTGGACAAATAAATAAGTCCCTGATGGATTACACCCACGAGTGCTGAGGGAGCTGGACGATGTCATTGCAAAGCCACTCTCGATTATCTTTGAAAGGTCTTGGCCCTCAGAGCAGGTTGCTGAGGACAGGAAGACAGAAAATGGCCATTCCTGTCTTTCAGAAAAGCAAGGAGGAGGATCTTGGGAACAACATGTTGGTCAGCCTTACCTCAATCCCTGGGAAGGTGATGGAGCAAATAATCCATTTCCAAACATGCGAAGGTCAAGAAGGTGATTGGGACTAGTCAACACAGATTTACAGAGGTGAAATCAAGCCTGATTAACCTGAGGCAATGGACACAAATTAAAATACAGGAAATTCTATTTAAACATTAAAAAAAGAAAAGCTTTTAAAATGTGAGGGTGATCAAACACTGGAACAGGTTACCCAGAGAGGATGTGAAGTCTCCATCCTTGGAGATATTCGAAACCCAATGGGACATGGTGCTGTTGCACCTGCTTTGAGCAGGGTGATTGAGCTAGATGATCTCCAAAGGTCCCTTCCAAGCTCAACTATTATGTGATTTTGTGATGCTTCTGACTTCCTGCGGACATGAATAGTCTTATCACTAAGTGCTAGATTAATTTGCGACTCCTCTCCCATCATAAGCAACTGCTGAATTTTTTTTAAAGATGATGAGACTCTATGTGACTCTGTGTGATGTTACAAACTTATGTTGTTGTCAGCTGAAATAGAAGGTGGGGAAAAGGCTTTATGTGGTCAGAGTTTGTATTGCTGGAGCTCTCCTTGATCAATTGCTGACTTTGCAAACTTTGTACTTGAACAGCTTTTATTCTTATTCTTACCCTACTCTTCGTCTTGTCCTAGTAGCTGTCTGTCTTGACCCTATCCTCCTGCAAACCTTGACAGCAGATGCAGCTCAGCAGGTCGACTAGCTGGACAGCAAGTTGAAAATGATCTGGAGAATTTCTTTAGCCACTGAGCAGGCATAAGCTATGTCACTAGTCCAATCCCACATGATGTTAGCAGCCTTCTTGTCTCCACCTTCTGCCACAGAACTGCTCTCTTGGTGGTGTAACTTCTTGGTTCGTTAGTGTGGCAGTTTCTGAATCACTGCCCGCTTTGTAGCGGTGGGGTCCGCCGTAGTAATGCTCTGTCCAGGCCAGGCATGGTCTTCATATTGCTCTTCTGCCTTAGGGTAAATGAGCAACAGTTGGGAGGGGTGGGGAATCAGTTTTTCCAAGACTTGTGAATTTCTCAGATGGATATGTCTATTCAGCCTTGTGTGCATACGGAGACTCCAGACTAGTCATTCCCAAGACAAGCCTGCGGAGGTGGGCCTGCAGTTCCGTTGTGCTAAGCAAAGCCTGTAATTGCAAGGTTTCATCTCTTAGAGTTGCTCACCTGGTGATTGTAACATTTGTCTTCTGCCCTCTTTTTAAAGTGCTGCTTGCTCGGGCAGGCTATAAAGTACAGCAAAGAAAGTCAATACTGTCCCACTTGTGCGTCAGTGCCTTCTAAAAGTGCTGAGCTTGGCTTCTTGCTGGTGTTTTGCCCAATGTGTGCGTCAACATCCCTTCCAAATTCAGATATTGACGTGCTGTCTGCAAAGATGGACTCTCTAAAGGCTTGGAACGTGTTGTGTATGCATGATAATTGGATAGAAGAAAGAGCTCGTAATACTAAACCAAGATTTTAGGCTTGAACCCTGGATCCACATACTGCTACAAATTTGCTTTGTGACAGGGAAGTAACTTAAACCTGAATCCTTAGAGAAATTTTAGTATACAGCTTGCACTGAGATATTGGGCTTTGGGTCCTCAGTTGAGGATGCGGCTCACAGCTTGGCTTTCATATGTAGTTCTTCAGTGGCACTTCACTACTACCTTTTCCCTATCTAACTGCTAAATAAATAAATCTATTTGTGTGGCTGTGCAGCACACAAGATTTGGGAATTTATCCAAATGAAGTGTTTAGGCTTTTTTCCACCACTTTTGAGGTTTTTTTTTTTTTTTAATGCAGATCCTGATTTATGTGATTGCAGGCATATCAGCATTTATCCACTTCAAGTAAATTGGTCATTATGATATTACCCTAACTCACCAGGGAACTGTGAAAAGAAGAATGCTAAAGACAACAGGGTACTCAGATATTACACTGTACGCAAAGGAACTAAGGTTTAGAGTAGCCTTAGCTTCAATGCAGGTTAAAGAGTTGCCCTGGGGCTGAGAAGGAGACAGCTGATGTGTCTCTCAGCCAGAGCGTAAGGGTTTGATATCAATCATAGCAAAGGAGGAGCCCTGTCACTGCTGGGCTATGGCTTCACGATAGGAGTTCATAGTCATCTGTGTCCCTCCAGTACCATATAAAATGGAGTGGAGTGGAGAGTCCCTTTGGGACAATGAGGAGTACAAACATCAGGGCTAGCAGGTGAAGGGCAAGCTAATTCTGGTCAAATAAAATATTCTGCTTAGGAGTCTGGAGGTAAAATTTGTAAAATTTCTCTTTGGGAAACTGTTTCTATTTC